TATATATATATATATATATATATATATATATATATATATACTTTCCACAAAGGGGTATTGGTAGTTTATACAAACCTCACAGCCGACGAGACTGCACCTTATGATGTGATGGCTTGTGCATCTCTCTGACCCGACGAGCTAAACAGGATGGCTTTTGTCAAGCCAGGAGATCTTATCATGCCTGGAAGGCTGAAGGGTAGAGGTCTGACGAAGTCTAATCTCCTGGTCCTCCAGGTTGGGGGTCCGACTCGAGTTAGTGCCTCGGTCGGTAAAACGGTAGAGGAGTAATCGATCCAAGTAAATGGGCCTATACTTCGCTTTACCCGCTGCCTTGCGGTCAGGTTCTGGTTAGAACCCTAATCGTTTTCCTCCTTATTGGCTGAACACCGTGGCAGTACCTGTCCATCAAACTCAAATGAATACACAAACAAAAAGATGATGACAGCCGAAAACATTAGGTGTTTTCAAAAGCTCAGGTCGATCGAATTACTGTCCAGTTGCTCGTCGAGTTTGGCAAGTAAACTGCAAAACAAGATGAAGACGTCACATTGAGTAGTAAGGCAATAGCATACCGTTGTAAATTCAGCGTAAAACAACTGAACTCTTAGCTGCATATACTGTACAACGGACCACAATGATATATAATTCGGTTACATACCTATGGTAAACTGACAACCGAATTTTCGGGTGACGTAATTAGATAAGATTGTCCGGACAGACACACTGGAAAAATATGACTCGGCTGAACTACATTTCATATGGCTTCCGAAACAATCTATTTTTTTCAATTTCTTGATACTGGATTACAAAATATGGAACCAATCTAGGATGTAAACTGCTAGGACCATGATTTGAGATAATCGTGGTAAAACATTGTACATCCATGTGTAATGGGTACCCTGGACGTTTAAGTCTTATTCAACAAAATAATCAGGTTGTGGAATTTTCCAAACGAGGTGAGTGAGGACCNTTTCCAAACGAGGTGAGTGAGGACCGATACTCGCAACAAGCTCGCATTGATAGGTTGTGATATATCGTGTAAATTCAAAATGAGAAACGATCTGATCAGCTGCCCGGTGGTCGAGTGGCTAGCATGCTTGTGTTCTGCCCATGAGGTCCCGGGTTCGATCCCCAGTTGGGACGATGGATTCATCCACTGCTGAGACCTAGCCAGGTCGAAACAGCTGTCCAGTGCTTCCCAGCTCACACCTCGTCTACACGACGAATTTATCATGTGATTATTGTATATATTATATATATATATTAAATATTTTGTGATCATTTGTTCGCTCGGAACGGTGATGCTCAAGCGCTAACAGTCACCGAATTATCACCCCAGAGGTCGCGTTCGAATCCCCCCCGCCACCATCATCATCACAGCCTGACCTTCTCTCCTCTTTGTCGGATGGCAGCCCTTTGATTGGCTACTTCCCTTTGCCTGAAAATTGTGCCATTGTATATTACATAAAAGGGAGTGGGATAAAAAAAAAATCATGTTATTATATGTGCAATGTGAATAATAATAATAATAATAAATTTCCTTCAATGCTTTGAATACTACCGGTCAAATAATACCCAATAGTAAGCATAAGTTGGATAAATAACAGTATGAAAATGAGAACACTTGCCCAAAACATTTCAGGCTGCATTGCGTGATTTAAGATCGATTTTGATTGTCTTCGGGAAATGAACTGAGATAAACGTGTAAAGCGCTTAATGACTACTGCACTTTACCACAGTTCTGGCCAAGACAAGTTGTTGTGATTTTGTTAGACTTTGGATCGTTATACCACGGTATCACTGTTTACTGATAATGTAGATTTCTTATCTTCCTATTGTAACCGATGAACCTACATTGTTAGAAGATTAAAGCCTCGTTTACGGCTCTTTGTTCTCTCTCTCGTTCGTCGCTCAATCATCTGAGTTCATCACACAAGTCAAAAACGAATGAAGCCAACTTCAAACGTATTTAGAAAGCATGAGTTGAGAGTATTTTCAATGGATAAAACGTTACAAATAACAAAAAAACAATATGGATTACGATAGTCATTGACCAAACAGCACCAGTCAAGCAAGTGAGCTTCTGAGAGAAAATCGCACTACAAAAGGAATTTGGGCACGGTAGATCTGTATCTGTAAGAAACACAGATCGAAAAAGGAAGACTCAAATAAACCGATTCGCCCAACCTACCTCTTTTGCCACTTTTTCCTTTTCGGCTTTCTTCATTTCTGCACTGTACAGTTTCATGGTCTTTTTCAACTTCGTTTTCGAGACCAGGTCCCACTTTTCGTCCCCAGCACCGTCTACCCATATTCGTGTGTCTGCCTCTAATTTCCCGTGCAGGCGAATCAGGGCTTGTAGAACAGTTTTGAAGGGTGCCTGGGCAGTTCCGTTCCCGGTCTTGTCACAACCCTGTTTTTCTGACGTATACACTTCTGAAGACACGGAAAGAATACACGACATACACATACATGTTTATAACAGAAATCAGTTGCGTTGTTTGTTTGTTTGTTTTTTCTTCTTAAATTGCAGTTATTCATCATTCATAAAAATAAAGAATTTGATGACAAACCTTCACAGAAAAATCTACAATTATATCCAATTCAACAACATTTGCACTCCAGTGCAGCTTGTATTGACAGCCATCAGGCTACTTCTTTCACAGGACAACAGCGAAAAATGAAAGCCTCAGTGTGATTCGCGCGGGTATCTTCGGTTGTGATTTATCACCCTCCCTTTGCACCTCGCTAAATGCTCGAGCACTTACTTTA